CTGGGGTTCCTGGCCAGTCTGGGTGAGGGGCTGAGGGCTGTTTTCAGGCTGGGGGTGACTGAAGCTCCCAACTGCTCCTTTTTTTCTTTTCTTTTTTTTATTCTGGGCCAGCTTTAGCTCTGGCTCCAGCTCTGAGGGTTCTGCTGCTGAAAGTAGGTATCTGGTTTGTTTCGGTTCTATAATCTCGAAACTCTGTGTCAACTCCAGCTCTAAGATCCCGGCCTCGCTGAAAGCAGGTTTCTGGGGTTTTGTTTAGCTTCTATATTCATTACAATGTTTCTTAAACTGCAGGCTCAGAGGCCGGCAAAGCAGGCAGGGAGCATTGGTTTCCTCCGTCACTGAAGCAAGCAAGCCTCATGTTAGTTTCAAGCTGCCTGGCTGCCAGCCACCATCTTGGCTGGCAGTTAATTTGCATATCTCACTGATTAGCCAATGGGAACTGTAGCGGTCATATGCCAATTACTATGTTTCTCTTTTATTTGATAGGATATTCAGTTTCTTGTTCAATATAGATATCCAAGAATCGTTTGCTGCACTGAATATAATGCTGTGAGTGCTCCGACACTCTCAAATCACATTAGGAAAATTTAGTTAAATATTCACATTGACTAGTTTTCTTAATTCAAGTGTTTGCAGGTCAGAAAATCAGCCAGAATAAATTTAAATGTTTTCTTACTAACATTTGTTTACTTGAAATTGTTTCAGACTTATATTTTCAAAGATTTTAACATATAACATTGCAGTTTCTAAAATCATTGGCTTATTTTTATTCTTGACTGAAGTGAAGTAGGCAATAAATGTATATATACCACTGAGATAAATGAAAGTAGAATGACATTTCTTTAAACATTTATGCCATTAAGCACACACACACATTCTATGACGCCTGAACAAGCTGTTCATTCTCTCTCCTCATTCACTGTTTCACAATTCCCACAGAGGCCACATCAGAAACACTGGAATTCCTTTCATGCCTCTTTGCATGCCATCAAAGTAAATAGTAATTAATTGGGGGTTTTCCCTCTGCCATAGTCCTAACATTAACTCCTTCTTTTCCAACCCACTGCCACTCTAGCTAAGATCCACCCTCAAGTTCAAATTATACTTATTGCCTCTTAATTCCTCTCCCTTCCCTTTCTTTCTCTTTTCTTACCCATCCTTTCTTTCTTCCTTTCCTCTGCTCTTTCTCACTCACTACATCCATTCATCCATCCATCCAACGAACCACCATCATTTTAGTATCTATTATGTTCCAGGTAGTGTTATTGGGGATACAGCAGTGAGGAAGACAGACAAGGTCCCCGCTCTTTCAGAGTTTTCTCTTGGTTCCTCACATATCTATATATATAAAAGGCTAAGTGTTCATCCACCCAACCAGTAGCTATGATGCACACTGACCACCAGTGGGCAGATGCTCAACACAGGAGCTGCCGTGATGCGCCCTGGCTATTTAAAAATAAACAGCACCACAGACCTGGTGCTAACAAACCAACACTTGGCTTCCCCCAAGTGAGACACAGGCCCCGCCACCACCCCAGAGCACCATCCCACCAAATCGCAACCAATGCTGCCAAGAACCCATGGTGCAAATGTGACCCAAAGCCCAGCCCAGCCCAGAAACGGTCACTGTGGGCGCCGGGTAATGACATCACATAGCAATGCCCGACTTCCTCTCCCTAGCAACTAGCATTATTGGAGTTTCTTCAGCCCAGGAATACGGCTTGCTTTATAGCCAGCCGCAAACATTTTACACTTTAACTGAATGTTTGTGAAGCGTTTTCACATGCCTCATCTCATTTCACCCTCACAGAAGTCCTAGAGTAGGTAGATAGGAAACTCAGTAGAATTTATTTTCTTTTCATTAGCAAGACGTGAATAGCAATATTAAAATATTTATTCTAATCAATTTCCTTTCAATGTGCATGAATCCATGCACCAGGACACTAGTATTCTATATTTAGCTATAAGGCACATTTTCCCATTGAACTGTTTTGCCCCTTGCCAACTCCACTCAAAACTATCTGTTTGCTTTCCCCAGACTGAAGCACTTTATGGCTGGCTTTCCAAGATCCTCTGGGATTTGGCTCCATTCTATCTTTCCAGCTGAATCTCCTATTTCTTCACTTGCACATCCTATACTTCAGCTAAACCTGAGCACGTGCTTTAAACCTTATCTATGGCAAAATGGATGAGGAACCTTATGATAAAGTTACTGGTTGAATGCAGCAACAACAAAAACCTAATACAAGATAATAACATAAAAAATAAATAGTAAATGAAGGAAGGAAAAAATAGGCTACTCACCACTTCTCACAACTATTTTATGATTGTCTTATTAGTGCCATAGGACATACCCAGAGACATAGCATAGGGCTTTTCTCTTGAGGCAGCATATGCCAATCACTCTGGGAAAAGGTGAGTGTGGGACATAAAAGGAGAGGCCTTAGAGCTATAGAAGAAAAGGACCTCCTCTTATTTCTGGGGTTAAGAACCAACCAGAAAGGAAAAAGTCCTTTGTGGAGAGTCTCAAAACAGAGTATTGGTAGACCAGAAGCAAAGGGCAATGTAAGCCTCTATTAATCAGTGGCACTGACAATCAACAACAGCATAGAAAAGCAGCTGGTTTCTGGAAGGACCACATTAAGGAAGCCACTGTGGCATCCTCCAATCTGAACAAGATGCATCGAAGTTCTGGCTCAACTAGCACAACAGAAACCAGTACTAATGCTTTGAACCCAAGGCTAGAGTTGGAGCCTAAGGACAGTGTTAAGGGGAGAGGGCCAGCCAGGCCGGGTGGTTCAGCTGGTTAGAGAGTCGTCCTATACACTGAAAGGTCTCGGGTTCCACTCCCAGTCAGGGTACATACCCAGGTTTCGGGTTCGATCTCCTGGTCAGGGTGTGTACCGGAGGCAATCAATCAATGTTTCTCTGTTACACTGATATTTCTCTCTCTCTCTCTCCTTCTCCCTCTCTCCCTTTCCCTCTCCGTCTCCCTCTCCCTCCCTCCTTCCCTCTCTCTCCTTCTCCCTCTCTTTTCCTCCTCTAAAAATAATAGTAAGAGCATATTCTCAGATGAGAATTAAAACAAAAAAGAGGAGTGGGCAGAGGGAATGAACCTGAGACCATGCATGAAATACACAAGGCAGCACAGTAGAAAACTTGCAAATAGCTAGAGGACACTCTAAAGTGGCCAATTTCTAATAGGCCGAGGAGATTTGTGACGTAATTTGTGTATAAGAAGGAAGTACAATTTTATTTTGTAGTTACGGGCAGATGACATCAAGGACCTAAAGGCTATATTTTCACTCTTTTTTAAAGACAACCATCACTATCATATTTGTGTGCCTACCTTTCCTCCTTATGAGATAGTGAGATCCTTTAAAGCAGAAATTACATCCACTGTAAGACACAATTTCCCATGAATTGCTTTGCCCTTTGCCAAATTTTACAAGTTGTTGCATTTCCCACAAAACATAATGATTCTTCACATAGTAAAAAACTATTTTAATGAATAAGTGAACTGATCTTTATCCTAGGTGAAGTACAATTAGTGCTGAAAAAATATTCTACATGAAAGAATACATGTTGCAGGTACAATAAGAATAATGCTACCAAAACCGTAAGTGCATATAAAATTCTGTCCTTAAACAAAACAAAATCAACTTACTAGTGATCATTGCTCCAGTTACAGAAGCCAGAAATCCAATGCTGACTGCAATGACGGAGATCACTCTCCCCTGCCTGTGCCTCTGCAGCATGACAAACATCAGCACTCCCGCAGCACCATGGACAAACAGAGAGGAGAAGAGAGCCCAGAGAAAGATCCAATACCACATCTCTGCAAGGAAAAGCACAGTGTTAATAATTCTGTAGAAAAATATCTTAGAAAATTCAATTTAACAAATTGCAAGCACTCCTGGTTTGGGGAAGGTTAAATGAGATAATAGATACAAAAATGCCTACTACAGTACCTGACACATACCGTATTTGCCGGCGTATAAGACGATTTTTTGGCCCTGAAAAATATGCCTCCAAGTGGGGGGTCGTCTTATACGCCAGGTACACTTCAGATAGACTGCCCATAGTGCTTGCCCCGTGCCATAGTGGCCTCCCGATGCCCGCCCACTTCATTCCACATACCGTTCAGGCATCAGCAGCGCTGCTGGGTGTATGCTCGGCTGTTATGCGATTTT